ACCTATAAAGAAAACAATATTGACCGAGTAAGTTTACTTGAAGATCATGCACATGTTTGTACAAGTCATATTAAAAAATCCAGTAACTGCATGTACCTGAAACATTCAATCAGTTTTTTTAAGTAAAGAGGATATCGGACACACAAAAAAGAGCTAGGTGTTCAGTTTGTCAACATTCAGGTTCAATTCTCCTTCAAGTGAACCACAAACTGAAACTGATCGATATATAAACATGCATTGTTCTTTCCTGTAAAAACACAAATGTGAGTGGAATGATGCAGTACCATATTAATAAATAAAAATTTGATAGTCTACATTACTGTAACATTTGCATTTTTACAACAAACTACAGGTATTTCCTGGAAACTCAAATCAAAATAACATCACCCTAAACAGTCTAAAGGAATTTTCAAGAGCAAAGTTTATCCGTTTTCAGCCGACTACATATAGTGGTTGGAAGGTTCTGAGAGTGGAAGTTTATGGAACAGTTCTAAGGAAAGGTATTTATTTCCTTTAATTTTTTTCTCCTTCTGAGACCAGATTGAGGTCACGATGACTATAATTATTTATATGGAAGCTAACATTGGGTAATTTTACTGAGGTGTAAATTAAAGGCAAGTTTATATTCTCCACTAATATTCATTGAGCTCTGGTCAAGTGAGAATTGTAGTGTATTGTACCGGAAGTGTGAGGTTGTGTTTGTAGGCATCCCATGATGCCTAGGGAAAGTTGTTGTTGTGGTACTCGTTGGCTGCCATGTGGATAGTGTGTGGATTAAAGTATTGAAATCAAAGAACATCGAAGGTTTTTATTGCCCTATATCCAAATATCACAAGAATGGTATTGAAATAATTCTAAAGCTGACCATTGGAGAATTTGAAAATCAGCTCATTTAGATATCACGTACACCATAAGTTAAGAGCTGAACATACAATTCTTTGGTGATCAATGCTGTTCATTTTTCGATGCTCTTATGCTGTGAACCTGTGAACTACTGCACATTCTGTTCACTTTAGGTTAAGCAAATGACCACATTGCTTAAAATGTTCAAATTCGCCATTAGGGAAATTTGCATCAGTATTGCGCTTCTTCAAGGGCATTTTCACCAAATAAGTTTAATATTTGCTGATGTGCTTCTAAATCACAAACATGGGATTTAGAAAGTACATGGGCTGCATTCTTGCATCACACCTGAGAACCTGCAAGCTCACTTCACTTAGTATAAGTAATTTGACATCATGCAACTATAACTATTGTGTGAGCTGCTCATTTGTTTTCCTATTGTTAGTAAAGTATGGTCATGTTTGGTATCTATGAAATTGCATAGAGATTCATAATGCAATGCTTAGCTTTTGATTGCACACTGTGCCTTGCGCAAATTTTTTTGTGAAGTTGATTTGTTTTAGCAATAATGTTAACTCTCACTTCAGAGGGTTTTAACATAAAAAAAAAAACAGTTTAACTGTACAATTTAGTACTGGAAGCCTTTTTGTTTGCACAGGAAATGTGGGGATAGCATAGGTTATCTTAATTCACTACAAAGTGCAGTACAGCTGTATAAGTAAAGTTATATTTAAGAATTACTTAACCAATCAAATAGTGGGAATCTCTGTCTAGCTTTTGAATTGTGTTTATATTATGGTATCAATTTTCTCTTCTAACCCTTGTCATCTACTAATTACTGTAATATCTTGTTTAACTAAAAAGAGGAAATTAATTCACAATACTTGAATTATTTTACATGATTTGTGTACATCTGCGAAGGCTGCGTTATTTTAAATTGTCATCTTGCAGTTTGTGAAAGTGAGGCCATAGGTCTGGCCAGTGGTGGTAAAATTCCAGACAGCAGCTTCACAGCCTCAACATTTTTCGGTAGTGAGTATAAACCTTCTTATGGTCGACTGAATGGAAGTAGCAGAGGTTGGGCACCCAAGACTACAACCAATCCTGCTGACTACCTACAAATTGATCTGCTGTATGAGTACGTTATCTGTGCAGTAGCTACTCAAGGAGCTAATGGTATTAATGAGTGGACAAAAAACTACAAGATCCAGTTATCGTTGGATGGTACCACGTTTTTTACCTATAAAGAAAACACTATTGATAGGGTAGGTTTACAAAATGATCATGCTTGTATTTGCTCATATCAGTAAAAGGCAAATAAGCACTCTTGTGATGTATGTAAATCCAAACACGAGATTAGTCACAAACCTCTATAGTTCTTTGTCGTTCTTTATGATCCTCCATCGGCCCATTCAGAGCTCCTCAAGCGTAATACTCAGCCTATACTTACTCGACTCAAAACAACCGTGCCACCGCAACAGTCATGCTCGAAAAAAAATTTTAAATCAACTCCAGAAAAGGACGAGAAACGAAAGGCAAAGCAAAGCAAAGCTTAAAATTTTGTGACTGAACTGCGAAAACTAAAAAACCACGTGACCAAAGAAAAATGAAATACATTAAAATAATTAACAATTATTCCACGAGCGCGCGTTGGATATGAGATGATAGATAGCCAACGAGGCGCGTAGCGCCAAGTTGGCTATAATCATCTCATATCCAACAAGCGCGAGTGGAATAATTGTTTTATTAAAAAC